TTCCTTTCTCATCCTGTATTCCTTTTTTTTAATCAAAATGAACAATTATCACTTGAGATTTATATTTAATGTAATGAGTCTTTTCTAGCAGCATTTAATACACACTCAGAAGAATAAGTCTTAACTGAGAAAAACAGGATACCTTATTTTCACAGTAATTTTTTTAAGTCCCAGTGATGAAAACTGTAAAGCAGCTTCTTCAGAGGCAGCTAACATTGATGAATCCAGTACAGCCAGTGTGTAGAATAAGAGGTGATAAAATATCACATCCAGCTTGACTGTCCTATTACTTAGTCTGAGTCTTTTGGAATAGTTATTCCTTTTTATTAGTTGTATGCTCGTTATACAGCCATGGAATGAAAAAGCTGAACATCAAAATCATCAACAATATACCTGAAAGATAAAATAACAGTAAAATAAAAACAATGATCTCTAAGGAAGTTCACAAGTGATTGTGATTATATATAATTATATACCTAGAAATTTGGAAAGCTATGTTTAAAAGAATTAGCTACAATAATTCTATGTGAAATGTAGATATTTTCTAAATTTAATATTCTCACATTTTTCTTCAGCCATGAATCTTTAAAAATATTATGTACTTGGTAAAACCAGTAAGATCTAAACATGAATTTAGAAGATAAAACTGAAGGCTTTGGAGTTCTAGTTCTGGCTCCATTATTGATTTTCTGAGGAGAAACTATACTTGAGTCTCCATTTGCTCTTTAAAATGGCACACTCTGTCCCCCAGTGCCCTAGGGATGTACTGGGGGAATAAAACAACTGAAAACACTCTTGAATTTTCACTTGAAATTCTCAAATAAGAACAACATGTTAGATTACTTTATCCTTTCTCATTTTTTTTTTACCAATCTCAACTATGAATAGCTTTTAAAGCTGTATCAAAAATTAACAAAATTTTGGTTAATGTTGACAGTTTAAATCTTAAATATGTAAAAAAATAAATCACATATTAGTAAAGCTCCATTTGTGAGGTTAGTGGTTGATTTTTCAATGGGAAACGGGTGGAGGAGAGTGAACCACAGGGCTCAAGTCATTGTCTGGAAACGGAAGTCTCCAATAGTTAATGTGTTTATCTTAATGCACTTTGATTTAAAACTCTAGGTCAGTTTAAACTAGGATTAAGAATGAGTTTTTGTCACATACAGAGTTGATATTTTACTCTTGTTTGGTAACAACAGGAAACTTTAAGGTTTGACTAGCATTTGGACAGCTTAACATTTTTAAAAGAGGAATCTGTTTTGCAACCAAAGGCTTTAAATGAAAAAAATATCAGAAACAATCCATGTTAACTGATCACCAAATTTGACATTTTCTTTACAAAGTTAGAGCTAGAAAATAAGATATTACATTTAAAACTGTTTCCAAAAATGGAATTTCAGTTTCATAGAAGCAAATGTAATTTGCTAATTTTCATCTATGAAATGCGTAAACTAGAGAATTAATTTTATATCCAGTCTTATAGTCACATTTCTAACATTTTAAGTTAATTTGGGGGAGTTGCCAAAATTATAATATTTCTGCTGCGAAGAGAAACAAAAAAGAACAAGGGCCGTGGTTTCCAAGAATAGTTTGCTCCCTGCTTGGTCAAAAAGGGAAAGAAGTTAGCTAGCGAGGGATCACTCTCCATTTCACTCCATAGCATCCATTGCCTAATGTAGCTTGAACAGGGTTTTGTTTGTTTCCTCATCTCTTCTTAGCTTGTTGAATGACTCCTGTAAAAATATAATTTCTTGTATTCTCATCCTTTATAGAGTTTAATTATGACCTTATTTCAATTGATGAGCACATTTTTTCCCAATGGGAATGTAACTTCAATGTATGACAATTCATTGGTAAGCTGGAATTCAGTGTTCTAAAAGCTGCTGTTTACTCGTATGTCTTTTCTCCACATACACTGAAGGATTCCTGTATTGTGTCTTACTCATAAATCTCTTAAAGAAGTATAGGAACGTATATCTTTAAACCAAAACCTACAATAGAAATTTTATGTTGGGTCTATTTCGGAAAAAATCTAGGAGGTCTGTAGGCCAACCAAGAATCTTTGAATTATTTTCAACAAGCTAAATAGGGCCATATATAGTCACAAAAAAGTTGATCCCCATTCCAGTTTTACAAGATTCCTTAAGTAGGAAACAAAGATAGATAAAAGTACATTTGTCTGTTGTTTGGGGTGTTTTTTAGAAAAGTGGTTCTTGAAAATGTTTTGGTAATGGCCACAAGTCATATTACCATCATGTTTGGACTTCACTAACATGTAGAGAATATAGTCTGTTTTCCCACCTTAATAGTCTCTATACTTTCTAAAGGGGGAGAGGTGATTGTTCCTTTTCAGTCTATCATGAGACTTTTTCCAGTATGTTCTTCCAGGAAGAAGTTATTAAATGATTTGGGGTAGAATGTATTTAAAATAAAAAGTCATAGTCCATTTACAGAGAATGTCATTACTTCTGTGTTGTTCTCTTGATATTCTTCTGGAAAGGCCTACTTTTTAGTGTTCTTTCAAGTAATAGGTGAAATAATTACTTAGTATTATGGGCTTATTGTCAAAATTGTATTTGGAGCACATTAACAAATATATAAGATTAGTAATATATATTGATTTTAAATAAGACATATTAGAGATTTTTCCACATGAAAACTATCACTAGATCCATCCAATTAGTGACCTTTTTAACTTCATTAACTTCAGTGACATCTTTAACTTTTTAAAAATTTATTAGAGAAAAGTTATCTTTAAAAAACTTATTGGAAAACACTAGCAATCTGTTGAACTGAAAAAAAAGGCACCTTTTTTTTGCATTTTAAAATGCAGGTTTTCTCTGACATTCCTCATGTTTAAACCTACATATGTTATTATTGAGCATAATAGATACTGAACATGAGATAAAAGAATAGAAGGTGAGTGGGAGGAGCAAAATGTGATGGCTATTCAACCTGTTGTGCCTCTGTTCCTTTGTAACCTCTCCCTCTTTTTAAAACAGAAATGAGCAACAAGAAACAATACTAACACTGGATAAAAAGAAGGGTGAACTAATAGAAGACCAGGCATCCTCATATTCATTTTCAGTTAGGTATTATAATCAGGCTTAAAACAAATGACTAAATAAAATTTTAAAATGCTGATAACTTACATGCATATTACGATTACAGTTATAAAATAACTTTTGTGTTATTTGGCCCATCTGTATAGAGGAGTTTTCTATATCTTCTGATCCAGATAGAAACAACAGCAATGAATCTTGTGGATTTTAAAACTACTGCTCATTACATGTATACATTGTTTTATGAGATGCTTTTCTGCAAAATAAGTCACATGAACTAAATAGTATTTTATCTGGAGTTCACAAATTTGAAAAATAATTCCTTTATTTTTAAAATTTTTTTTTTTGATGGAATTAATCACTCATTTTTTTGCTCTCATATCTGTGGGGTTTTAAAAGGTTATCATACCTGAAACTGACTACTACCCTTAACTAGATAATTTTGTTTCTTTGAAGATAAAAACAGTTTTAAAGAGTACCGCACAAAATAAAATGTTATTTCAGGCATTTTAACTACCTTTTTCATTTTTTTGTGTGTGCCTACTCTCTGACTTTGGAAATTGATGTTACAGTGACATTCTGTAATACATCATATCTATATCATATTTTAAGAAACTCATCTTTCAGTCATATTAAATAATATGCTTACCTAAAGAAGGAGCCAGCCAATATACTATAAAAAATCGAAGGAATGCTTCATCAAAACACTTGAAATGTAATGAAAGTGCCAAAGCTGGATTAAATACAGCTCCTGTTAGACTTCCTCCTGTAATACATTTTAAGCAGAGTGATACCAAACCACATATCTTACATTTTCTTGTAACTAAAAATAAAAGAGTTACTAAATGGGTGGTTATCTTGTTTTAGGTACTTAGGTACAGTCATCCTTCAGTATCTGCAGGGGATTAGTATCCTGCAGATACCAAAATCTATAGATGCTCAAATCCCTTATATAAAATGGCGTAGTATTTGCATATAACCTAGGCACATCCTTTTGTATACTTTAAATCATCTCTAGATTGCTTATAATAACCTAATACAATGTAGATACTATGTAAATAGTTGTTATATTATTTAGGAAATAATGACAAAAAAATGTCTGTACATGTTCAGAACCCGACACACCATCATACTCCTAACTATATAGAACATGTCAGCAACAATGTAATATTGTTTTAAGGATATTTTTGACCCATGGTTGATTGAATCCATGGATTTGGAACCCATGGGTACAGAGGGCCGACTATGTTCTTATTCTGTGATCTTTCTTTGCAGAATCACCTAGCATATTATAGAGTATAAAAATCAACTATGTATTATAATATGCCAGGTGCAAAAAACAAAAGACAAAGGACATTAACAGTTAATCCAATGCTTTTCCTATATATTGTAAAATGCACATTGACAGTGAATTTGCTCTATTATTGTTCTTAGGGTTTTATAAAATTGGAGACTTGGCTGCCCTTAACACTGATCAATTTAAGTGAGTGAATAATAAAAATAAAATGAAAAAACATTTAAAATGGATATAATACCCCAGGTTCCTCTTGGGTATAGTGTACCTTTGTGGTGAAAACAAAAAGTGGAATGGACCAAAGCATTATCATTGACTCTATTTTAACTTGTCAGGAGAGCCCTGAAGAAGTAACTATGAATGGTACGTAAATAATACCTTAGTAAAGTGGTTAAAAAAATTTTTTTAAAGAAGAGACCAAGTAGTCATGAATGATAAGCACAATGTCTTTAACTGTTGACTACTTTTCAGGATTCATGGTCCAACTCTGCATCCAAGGTATCTCTGATGTGGAGCCTAGAAGTTTAAAGTTCTGGCCACACAGCAAGTAAGGAAAGGTAGAAGAGGCTGGACTGCCTGTCAACAGTATTCACCGGAACTGTGGTTCAGCTTTTTAAAAATCACCCTAAGATAATCCCTGAGATAGTGACATTTCAGGCAGTTCTTCCATGTGGAAGCTTGGGCACAAACATCTGCCCCTGACTCAGCCAGCAATAGAGGCCAAGAAAAATAATCGGACAGATCAAGCTAACAGGCCCCAAGAAGACAGCAGAAAACCAAAACCCAAACAAAATAAGTTAATATTTATCAAAACATTTTACAGCACTGATCTACATAAATTTAAATGCCTTTCTTTGGGAATCCAAGCTCTGGAGGCAGCCCACGCCCTCTCTGGCGGACCCAGAGAGGTCAGTTTCACTAATTCTTATGTTTTTCTCCAAGAACCTTCTGGGGCAAACGTAAGTGCTGTCGTTGTGTCAGGCTGCTTCCTACCAGGTTGTGCCAAAGGCGGGGTGAGGGGGAGGGGAGAGAAAAGGGAAAATCTTTCATAAGATATCACTGAGATTTCACACTTGATAGGCTAAAAATATTGAAGCTGTGTTGAAGATTTTGAGCAGTGAACCAAATTCACTTGATAGCTAAGAGTTTTATTCCAGTACTCTATCTACCCTCACAGCATGATCCATACTCATGCCGCCAAAATTATAAATGACATCATGTCACAGATCTTCAGAATCATTCTTGAATAGTCAACTCTTGCAATGTTAAACCTATAGTTGCCAAGAGCCTACAGAATTGTTTGGTTGGTAGATGATCATTTCAGTTCAATTTCACAAAAATATATTGAGTTCCTGTGTACTAGACATCATGGTCAGGAAGATAAGGACTCACATATCTTTACAATATAACGTAATATGTGCTATGTTAATAAGCCACTGTGACTTTTTGGTATTTATCAATAAAAATAGACTAAACCATTGCTTTCATAATTAGTTTACTTTGGTATTCCAAAGCCAAAGACTTTCCATTATGTCTAAGAACACTATCAGTAAGTCTTGTACAATCCTAAAACTTAAACTACTTCACGTCCCTTATTGTCACATCGCCAATTCAGCTCAGTGGAAGCCACCCCTCCTACCAAGAGGTTGAGTCTATTTCTCATCTTGAATGTAGACTGGCTTTGTGACTTGCATTGACAGCGAATGCAGCAGAAGGGATGCTACGTGAATTCTGAATCTTAGGGGAGATGCTATGTGAGTTTTAGGTTCAGGTCTCAATAAACCCATCAGCTTCTACTTTTTGCTCTCTTGGAACAATGCCTTGACCATATAAATAAGCAGGTCTAGGCTGCTGGAGAATGAATGGCAACATGAAAGGGAACCGAGGCACCGTAGATGATAGTTGGTACCAACTGCCAGACACATGAGTGAGGCTACCTTGGTTCTGCCAGCCCCACCAACTGTCCAGGTATCTGATTTCAGAGGAATTTCCCAACTAGCCCATAGAATCATGAAAAATAATAAATTATTGTCATTTTAAAATTTGGGGTAGTTTGTTACATAGCAATAGTTAACCGATACAGAAATCCATATTAGCAGCAGGCTCTGTGGTAATGAAGCCCCAAACATGTTATTGGCTTTGACATTTTTAGACTGGATAATTGTTGTAGGGGCTGTCCTACATTGTAGGATGTTTACCAGCCTTCCTGGCCTTTATCCACTAGACGCCAGTAGCACATGCATCTCCCCCCATTATAGCAACCAAAAATGTCTTCCGACATTGCTGGATGTCCCCTTGGAGGCAGAATCATGCCTTGTTGAAAACCACTGTCTTAGAGAAACACTGGTACTTGTGTACAAGTAGACATATACGAGGTAGTTCACAATAGCAAAGAACTAGGAAAAACTTATTTGCCCGCAAGAAAATAGCTCAATTAAGTTTATTATTAATTTGGAATACCATTCAATATTTTGAAATAATGAGAGAAATCTCTACTAACATAGATCTCCAAGATATATCATTGAACAACCACCACCACAAAAACAGACTGCAGAAAGTGAGATATGAAATCTTTTATGTTAATACAAACCACATAAAAGAATAGTTTCTAAAGGGTCTTCTATCTATCTATCTATCTATCTATCTATCTATCTATCTATCTATCAATCTATCTATCTATCACCTATCTATCTATCATCTATCATGCACAAAAAAAGAGTTTGGAAAGACACACACATGCATGTGCAGAGGATTACCCTGGTGGGAAGAGTAGGCAGGGGAGGAGAGGAGACAGGCATGGAGAATGGCAGTCAAGTGTTAAAATTATTTATAAAAAGACACATTCATTTATTGTGTAATGAAACAAATTATTTAAAAAGAATCATCCATTAAGCACAGAACTAACTAAAAATGGCTTCAAAAATAAGTTACTATTTATTGACATTTGAAGGGGAGAAGACAATAACATGGTGAAGAAGAGGTGTCACTGGGGAGATCCAGCTGGCTGACTGCCAAGAGTCTTACAGGACAGCATGAACTTGGTGAATTCACCACAGGGAAAGATTAAGTCCCAAATCTGGCAATTCTAGGCACTAATGTTTCTCAATACTCCTCAAGAGAATTAAATTCTCTGTGACAGAATGACACTCTTAAAATCTCATAAGACTCGTGTATAAGCTAGAATATCAATTAACTATAGTGGAATTTAGCCCTTTCCAGTAACCAGTATATTTGCACCAGGTACTATGCTAAAAACCTGAATACTATTCTTTTCTTCACAGTAGATATAGTGTTATTCTCCATTTTAAAGGTGAGGAAACTGAAGCCTAAATTAGGCATTTCTCCTAAGAACACACAATCTAACTCCAAACCTGTTGTCTTAATCACTATGTTATACTGGTATAATAAAAAACGTTTTGAACCTTTGTCTGAATCTGTTCTTTATTTTTAAATGGGCACCTATTTCATGTGGTTATTCTATTAAAAATAAACATATGTAAAGGGTTTAATTCCCTTCTCCGTTGACAAATAATTTTACCTATATTCTTCATGATTTAGAAAGATACCAAAAACTCCTGAATAGAGTAATGAAATGAAGTAAAAATACAATTACTTCAAATAATTTATTAGGCTTATTTTGAAAGTCCTTAGACATAAAATATGGAATACCAAGATATGTATTATTTCTTTCCGTGTGATTTTTTAAAAGGTGAATAGAGTATTTACTAATTCATTCACTCGTTCTAAAAATTCTTACTATTTTGTACCAAGTGACACCATGGCTAAGTCCTGGTTTTATGATATAATGAGTAAAACAACTTTAGTCTCTATACTCATAAAGCTTACCATCTGGTGGAGGAAGACAGGTATTACATTATCAAACAAATGCACAATTAAAAATTCTACAAAGAAAATGAACAGGGTGCAGTAATAAAGACAACTTACTTAGATATGTAAAATAACAGATTTTTTCAATATATAATTAATTAAAAAGTGAATGCAGTTCTCTCTTACCCTGTTCGTTGAGTTAAATTCTCCCATATCTAAATTAAAGTAGATTTGCCGGAAATCTTCATTAATAACTTTATAGCTCTAATATGTTAATAAATCACATAGCTTTTAAAAAATTATAGAGAAGCCAATAAGTGGTAATGACATCAGTGGCTTTTATCCACACATCAAAGTGCAGGGTGCTAAATCAATAAATACACAGACACTTGTTCACTGGCTATCCAATGAGTCTGTGGCTATGTTGTTGGACAATTATGTTCCGTAATCTTTAAATACATCACCAGTTATTTTGATGTGACCTGTATTGGTGACTTCGAGTGTCCCAACTGTGGCATACATGATCCTTTTCATATATGGGGGAATTTTTCTACTTAGCCAAAACCTAAAACTTTAATAAGTAACTATTTACCAACCCCTCACATATGCTTATATCCTACCCTCTTGCCTATACTGTTTATTTCCACCTGTGTCTACAAAAAGAACAGTACTAGATCTAAAGGAAGGAAAATGGATTGGAAAGTTATTTTTACCCTAAAAGGGCAAGCATATCAGTTTAGGCATCCTTAAGGTTTGCTTCTACTCAGTTTCACTTTTAATGGCAGAAGATATTTAGACTCATACTATACATTTCCTTTTATTAGATTTCTGCCACCTAAACATTTTATAATTCATATGTAGTCCCAATGAATATATTTTGTATTAATCTTTTTAAATGATACATTTCATCATTAAACGTTTGTTTTTACATCTGAGATTGGTCAAAGTAAACGGTTTGCAAGAAATCAACAGATTTCTCAAGAGCTATTTGTTTTTAAAAAGCATCTTTAATTTCAAGCAAGTTTTAATTTTAAAACACACCTTTTTTGATAGGTCACTTATGAGTTCATTTATTACTCAAGATGAATTATTAAGAAAAAAAGAAACGACTAAGTAATTTTTCAGGAAAAGAACTAAGAAACAGATCTACATAATTTCTACTCACCCCTCTGGCTTGCGCTTTAAATTGGAAGGAACTTTTTAAGCCCAGTATCATTTTTCAGTGAGAGTGTCAGAATCTATACCAGGTTGGCTTGAGGAAATAGGTAGCTGATAACTTATCTTCCTCTCTACCATTAAAACAGCCCCTTTGTAGGATATTTGAACCCTTGGCAATACCTCACAAGATCTCAGTTTCAGTACAGAAGTGGCTCCTTTCTCTGGGTGTTCAAGAAAGCACTGAATGGAGGATCTGTATGTCGGCCCTATCCATAAAGAACGGGCTGCAAAATAGCTAAAATAACCGGGATACCAATATTGACATCACAAAAGATGTAAGCGTTTCAAACATATACTTGGTAAAGACTTTAAGAGTCTCAGGTCATAGAGGCTCCGGACGTGCCAAGTGTTTTGTAGGAATAACAAACCTGCATAGACCAAAAAGGTGATGAGTGCTGCCAGCAGGTGGATACGAAGCTTGGTTCGGACCTCCTGGAAGTGCAGCAAAGCACTGTGGAAGATAAAGGAGCAGATGGCTTCTATGATGACGGCTTTGGGCAAATCGACTTGGATGGGATTTCTGCAAGCGAAGCCCCTCTCGCTGACGTGATACCTGGTCAGCCCCAGGCTCCACAGGGCGCCTATGCAGTACCTGCTGCACAGGGCACCTGTCAGCTGAGCCAACAGTCTCATCGCCCCTATTTCGGGGGTCATTCCCCCCAGCATCATCTGCATCATCACGCCGCACGGGTTGCTGGAGGTGCCCACCAGAGTCAGGCCATGCACCAACGAGAAGAAATAGATTAGCGTCAGCGCCCAGGTGGGGTGCGCGGGTTCCTGCTCACTCAGCAGTTGCAGCTCATGGGTGCAGCAGCAGAGCTGGAAGGTGGCCAGAAACTCCAAGACGAAGGCGTGGGCCACGGGCCTGTGCATCTGCTGCCGGAGGACTCCGCGGGCCAGCGCCACGGACAGCACGATCGACAGCATCAGCCCTAGCGAGGTGCAGGTGTCCTGCACCTCGGGCCAGAGCCCCCTCAGCGCAGACATGGCTAGCTCAGGGTCAGACTGGGCTGCCGGCTGGGCTCGGCAGGAGGCGGTCTATGGGCAGGAGTCCGAAGTCCGCAGCCCCGCCCCCTTCTCACGCCCCTCGGGGCGGGCCGACTCTAGAAGAGGCCCCAGGGGCGTCTCGCTGGAGGACTCCTCCCCTCCTCCCCGGCTCTACGCTGTGGTGTTGGGACTAGAGCCGGGGAGGAGAGGAGGGGAGGGGCGGCGCAGGGAGCTCCGCTAGGGCACTGGCGGAGGGGCCAACGGTCAGCTGTAACTTGACAGACGCACGCCTGGCTCCTGGAAGCCGGCGGGAGTGGGGCAGGGGCGCCGCGCGCCCGGAGGCCACTGCGCATGCGTATGGCAGCCCGCCCGCCCTTGCTTGCGGCTTCACCTCTACCCCAGGACTGGGGCCGGGACCGCACCAGGTGCATGTTCCCGCAGGCGGAGAGGGAAGGTGAGCTACCACTGCGCTTTGACCATTGCTTTGAAGTGAAGAAGCTGGGGTTTTGCTTATCCCCTCCTCAAACTGTAAAACCGTCAAACTGGAAAGACCCCTAAAGATCATCGTGGCCAGCCACCCCGTTTTTATTAATGGGGCAGAAGACGGGGGAGGTGACGGAGGTGCAGTGCAGAGACCCGGGGTGGTTTAACGAGAATAGATATCGGAGAAGAGCAAACCAGGGTTTGACCTGTGTGAAGAGGGGCACGCAGCTGGGTCTCTATAAAGAGTTTTTTTCATCTACTTCATAGAGTTGTGGGTCATACTTATGACCCACTGCATTGGTTTGTTTTAAAAAATGAGATAACTGTGGATGAAAAAGTGGCCACATACTAAACCTAATAAGCAAACTAAGAGACTGAAATTAACCACAAAGCGTGGTCTGAGCATAAAAATTCCTAACTAAAAGCAGGTCACGGTGATTAGGCACATATTAGGCCTATAGCTTTCTTGACAAAGGTCAGCCTTTACTTTAAGCCTATTGTCTTTTTGCATCTACGATATCATGCCCTTAGAATGTCAGAGTAATCTTTTTTCCAGACCCCCTCAGGGCATAGCCCATTGCACCAGAGCAGAGCTCCAGGTTCCAGAACACATCATTGTTATTGTGTTTCCCTCAGACCATCTCTATGTGACATAAGCGTTAATTATTAACCATCCTGTGCTCACCAATGTAAAAGAAGTATGTGTGTCTCTTACTTTTTAACTAATCCCAGAGATTTCCCTGCTTTGCTGTCTCTCACTCCCAATCACCGATGGATTTCATGTAACCTTCCTTACATCTCCTTTGATTCTAATGTTTAAAATAAGCTGCAAAACTGCTATTCTCCAGAGCATTTTCTTAATCTGTTGAGATTTTTGCTTCTCAGCAATTGTCATCAGTTTACCTCAAATAAACTCATTAAAATTTTCTACAGGTTTGGATGTTTCTTACATTGACAAAACCACATAGCACAGAGTCTAGCACATAGAGTCTAGCACATAGGAAATGTTCAATGAATGTTAGCTTAAAGTTGAAAGAGCAGGTCTGATGATGCCTAAGTCCAGTTTCACTTTTGTGAGATGAGGAGTTCTGGAAATGTGGTTGCACAACTATATGAATGTACTTAATACCACTAAAACTGTATACTGAAAAATGGTTAAGATGGTGAATTTTATGTTATGTATATTTTACTACAATTTAAACAAAAAAAATTGTTTGAAGAGATGGGCTATAAAGCTAAACAAAGACATGGCTAAGTGAAAGAATCAAGTCTTAAAGACTACAAACTATATGATTCTATTTATAGGAAAAGGCGATACTATAGGGGCAGAGAATAGATCCCTAGGGGGTAATGGGAGACAAGAGTTGAATAGTTGACTAGATTAAACACAGAGGATACTTTATGGTGGTGAAACCATTTTGCACAATACTGTAGTAGTGGGTACATACATGTTCAAACCCGTAGAACCTTAATGTAAGCAAATTTTAAAAATCATTTAGGATCCTAAAATGGAATAGATAAGCCAATTATATTATAAATATATGAAATAACCTCATTGAAGAGGATGGGCAAAAAAAGATGCTGAACTAAGTGACTTTGAAAATGAGTTGGATCTGTATAACTACATGCAAAAGGAACTATACATCAGCACTGTATTCTAGTTGAAAACTTATTCATCGGAGAAAAGGCTAGAATGATCCATGTGATAATGAATTAGAATTGGAGATATCACTATGATCCATGTTTAGTTTAGTATAGATACAGTTATATACAGAAATATTTATAGATGTGTATGTATGTATGTGTGTGTATATATATATTAGTATACACATATTTCCTTACTCTGTCACCTGGGAGGGCCTAGAAGGTAGCATACCCTCATAGCAATGAGCACACCTAGTGCCCAGATCTTGGTTTCTAATGCCATTCTTCAATAAAAGGAACCAGGGCTCCTTGGAGAAATGGCTGATTCAAGGACCCAGACAGGAAATATACAAGGTGAGTCTGGAGCATCTTGTAGTGCTAGAAAGTAAGAAGAGACACAGCCAACTGAAAGAGCTGGCCAAAGCTAGACAATTTGAGCAACAAAATAAATAGTATTGGGTTATAACTCAAAGTATAAATATCCATGAAGGCAAAATACATAAATAATAGAATATAAATACATGAATAATAGAATATTTCTATACATAAATAATAGAATAAATAAATAAATGAGATAGAATATAAAATTCTGTGCAAAAGAATTTTGAATAATTTATGTAGATACTCTGCCTACAAGGAGGCTGAGCATAGCTCCTCACTTGTTAATTGTGATTTGTGTATATTGACTTCCTTCCAACTAGAATGGTATGGAAGGGGTAGGTGCAGGAAAGAGTAATTTTGCGGTGGAGAAACCTGACAAACATTACCTCAGCCAGATGATCAAGTTTAACATCAACAGCAGTGTCATGTTGATAGTGTGTACCCTTGATATGATGTAATGAAAATGGCACTTCTGTGGTCTTCCTTCCCAAAACACATAACCCCAATCTAATTATGAGAAAATCAGACAAATCCCAATTGAGGATGTTCTACCAAATACCTGAGCAGTACTCCTAAAAATTGTCAAGATAATAAAAAATCAGGGAAGTCTGAGAAACTATCATAGCCAGAAGGAGCCTAAGGAGATATGATGACTAAAACTTAACGACATTAGGTAAAACTTATAGAAATCAATAAAATATGGACTTTAGTTAGTAATAACATTAACATCAATTCATTAATTATGACAAATGTTCTATACTAATGTCAGATGTTAATAATATAAGAGAAACAATAATGGAAAACTGGGTGGGAATATATAGGAACTCTGTACCATATTTGCAATTTTTCTGTAAGCATAACTTTGTTTTGTAATTATAACTTAAAAAGTTTATTAAAATAATAA